TTTTTTTATTTGCCTAATACTTTTTGAGATGTTCAAGAGAAAATTTATAACTTTTTCAATGTTTAGCTTATGATATCTCGTTAACTATTTGTCAGAGGGAAAAGTAGTACAGGACTTTTTTACCTGATTTGATCTCAGGAATATGCTGTTGCAATAGTGCTCCAATTATGGAAAATTTTTGTGTATTGTACCATCTACCAAATTTACATACATAAAAATTTTCAATAATTAGAGCACTATTGCGATAGCATATTCCTGAGACCATTGTACAAGTGCACCTATACTTACTGTTACTAATTCAATATATTGTTATAAAAGCAAGACAAAGAAGAAAAAAGAAATAAAATCACAATGCTTGTTAACGGGCAATTAAGTACCTGTCAAACTATTATACGATCTACCTGTCGGAGAAGATCGCATAGGTAGCGTTAGCATAGGGACATAGCACAGGTGGCGTGGCATAGGCGTTAGTAGCGTTGCGTAGATGGCGAAGAATAAGACACGTGGAAGTGGAGAGTCGAGTCGATTCTCGTACAGTAAGCGAGTCAACTTGTATCACAAGCGCAAGAGTTGTAAGAAATACTATTTCAATTAAAATTGTAAGACGAGTACGAGTGTCTAGATCCTTTCTAGAACTCTAGATCCAGCAACGGCGCAACATAAAACTTGGTCCTTCGAGCCGGATCCAAGACGACGAATATATAGTCCATAAAGGGCAAGGTATCGAGACAAAGGAAATTGTCGGAAACATGGCCGACACAGCAAGACTTCGCAAGCGACGAGGCCTGATCAAGGCAAGGCTGACGAGATTAAGAACGAGGGTCGAGCAAATGCAAGTAAGCACGGACAACGAAGAAATCGAAATGTGTCTAGCGAGGTTAGAGGAAATCCATAGCGAATTCGAGAACGTTCAAGGTGAGATCGTCAGCAGCAGCGACAGCGACCCCATTGACGCAGATACGAAGGAAGATGCGGCCTTTGACGAAGGGTATTTTGAACTAAAAATCAAGTTGAAGCAATGGTTGAGAGCAACGACACCGCCAGGTGAGCAACGTCAATCAACGAGCGACGAAACATTAGCACATATTGCAACAGCAAGGTGAGCTCATACGGCAGATGAGCCAACGAGACAACGGTTTGCAAACCACTGATAACGGGGATGCAATTACAAGATTATTCGAGCAACAAACTCAGCTCATTCGCAGTCTCTCGGACTCGAGTAGCACTAATCCTGAGTCTAAGGTCAAGTTGCCGGTGGTCAAACTTCCAACCTTCGACGCACGGAAGAATGGAAGCGATTCGCGGAGACCTATCAGGCGATGATACACAACAACGACAGCATCCCAAATATCCAGAAATTTCAATATTTGGTAACATCCTTGAGCGGCATCGCAGCTAAGGTAATCGAATCTATTGAGCTTTCTGACGTGAATTACACGGTAGCCTGGGAGCTATTGAAGCGACGATTTGATGACCCGAGAGCCATCAAAAAGAGACACACACAGTGCCTTTTCAAAATGCCTAGGATTGAAAGGGAATCGGCAACAGCTATTCGAGGTTTGGTCGATTATACGTTAAAACATTTGCGCATGTTGAAATCTTTGTCTTTACCAACAGATGAATGGGGTGAACTCTTAATACACATGATCGAGACCAGGTTGGATTCAGTAACGTTAAGGGCCTGGGAGCAAAACGCTATTTCTACAGACGCGACATTGGACAACTTAACCGAGTTCCTCGAAGGGAGGTATCAAATGTTAGTGTGGCGGTCGCAGTACGCGATCCGGCACATCTCGGCAATTCGGCACTGCGCGACACGCGCGCGCGCGCGCGAGCGCGCGGGCCACTGAGTAGTTCGCCGACCGCCGCTAGGCCGCGCATGGCCGCGGGCGAAAAACATGGGAGTAAAATCCGGTCTCGTACAGTATATAAGGAGGCCCGCACGGAAGCCGAGACAATTCATCACAGTGTGATAACTTATCAGGACGATTCCCTGGTTGGAAGAATCCTCGATACCGACGCTGCGCGCTGTCGTTCTTAGCGACGGGTCCAGCTGACGCTGTCGTTCTTAGCGACGGGTCCAGCTAACGCTGTCGTTCTTAACGACGGGTCTAGCATACGCTGTCGTCTTTGACGACGGGTCCAGAGACCTTCACATACGCTGTCGTCTTTGACGACGGGTCCAGAGACCTTCACATACGCTGTCGTCTTTGACGACGGGTCCAGAGATCTTCACATACGCTGTCGTCTTTGACGGGTGCAAAGTGGCAACAACCTGGTCATCGGCAGTGAGAAGAGGCACTCGACCCAACGTCTTCCTCACCTCCACGGAAATCGCGACGGCACAACACCCGGCCGTCCAGCTCTTCGGAGGAAACTCTGCCAAAAAGGAAGAGCCGTCCACGGGTCGTATCGGTGGTGACGATACCTCCAGCCGAGAAGATGATCATCCGACCCAACAAGGATTCTAAACGTCCTCCGCATCCGCAGGAACCGCTTCTCCAGGAAGATCTAATAGATCCGACCACGCTGCCACGGGCAATAACTCCGGACTACCAGCACGCGGAACTACCTCCGCTATTCCGGGACGAGCAACCCGTTTCGCCAACTACAGCGGCAACTCCTCCAGCCGGTGCTGACCACCACGAGACTGCCGTAACGTGGGAAATAGAACGTCTCACACTTCAGCCACCACGGTTCAGTCGACCGCAGCATCCACCTCTCGAACCACTGGATCCAAGGCGTTCACGCCCTATCTCGCCGCGTTCCCGGGTGACCACAGCAGACAAGTGGACCCAGACCAGCACCTACGCCACGGCGCGGAGGCATAAGCAGCGGGATAAGAAAAAGCAGCGAGCCCCACTGACAGAAACCAAACAGCTCTTGTAAGAGCTCTCAACCGGCCCTTTTCAGGGCCCCACTCAATTAAACGAGTAACATCTCCTCGTACTCTCGCAATAACAGTAACGTAGCTTACGAGCCAAATATAGCTACAGTTAGAAAGGATTGAAGCAAGAGTCAAACCCAAGGACATCGTGCGCAAAGCAGAACCCGAGAAGCAAAGGGCTAAATTCCACAACAGGTAAGGGGCCACCGCTCTAGCTAACACAACGGAAGTCGGGAAATGCTATTTATGTCGTGGAGATCATTTCATGTATCGTTGCGAAAAGTTTTTGCAATTATCGGCAGAGGATCGAATCAAAGAGGTTCATAAGCTTAAACTTTGTATTAATTGTCTGCGCAGCGATCATTTTGTGAAGGCGTGCAAAATGGGAACCTGTCGGGAATGCGGCGGCAGACATAACACGCTGTGCCATCGTCCAACAGTGGAGAAGAGGGTGCAAGACGAGAGCAGTACGAGCGAACCAACGGTGAAAAATGCAAGCAACGAAACGAACAGCAGCGTCGTCGTGCACCACGTGGCGAATGGAACGAAGAAACACGTTATCATGGCCACGATGTTAGTAAACGCTAAGCACCCAAACGGGTCGGTAATTCCATTGCGTATTCTTCTTGACAGTGCCAGCGAGGCTCATTTTGTAACGCAATCGGCGTGTAATCGGTTAGGTGTCAAACGTGATCGAGCTTCCGAGATTGTGACGGGATTAAGCGAAATTAAAAGCGTTATACAGGGTGATTCAAAATAGGTATAGTGTCCCTGAAATGTCGTATTCCTGATTAAATTCTAAGACGATTTTTCTCTTACCAAAATGTTCTCCGAAGCTTAGTTTTTGAATTATTCAAAGAAATAGTCAGCGAATAACTGGCCGAGT